TGGCAAGAAATATTCTAAGTGATGAATACCAAGAACCTACAACCAAGATTACTTTATCCAGCAAAGCTATCATTCAGAATTGAAGGCCAGATAAAGAGCTTCACAGATAAGGAAAAGCTAAAGGAGTTCATCACCACCAAACCAGTATTATATGAAATGCTGAAAGGTATCCTTTAAGAAGAGGAAGAAGAAGAAAAAGGTAAAGATACAAATTATGAACAACAAATACACATCTATCAACAAGTGAATCTAAAAATCAAGTGAATAAATAATCTGATGAACAGAATAAACTGGGGAATATAATAGAATCAGGGGCATAGAAAGAGAGTGGACTGACTATTCTCGGGGGAAGGGGTGTGGGGGGTGCAGGAAGAGACTGAACAAAAATCTTACACCTATGGATGAGGACATGGGGGGGGGGGGTAAGGGCAGAGGGTGGGGTGGGAACCGGGTGGAGGGGAGCTATTGGGGGGGCAAAGAGGAACAACTGTAATAATCTGAACAATAAAGATTTAATTTTAAAAAAATAAATAATAAAAAATTATTTATTATCTCACAATTTCTGAGAGTCAGGAAAGGGAGGGGCTTAGCTGGGTGCTTGCACTGGCTCAGGGTCTTTTAGCTGTCCAGCAGGACTGCAGTCTCTGGAGACTTGCCTGGAGCTAGAGAACCCCACTTTCAAACTCACAATTTGCAGGAGTCTCCAGTTCCGTGCCCGGTGGGCCACAGGGCTGCTTCCCACATGCTTCCCCCATAGCAGGTGTTCCAAGAGAGAGGAAGCCCGAGGAGGAAGCGCTGGTTTCTCCAAGCTTAATCTGGGAAGTGATGTTCCATCACCTCACCTGGGTTCCCTCGGCCAAATGGTCCACTGTGAGAGGATGATACAAGGGTGGGAATACCAGGAGGTGGCCATCATTGGGGGCCATCCTAGGCTGGCTCCCCCACACGCGACTCTGATATAAAAATGCCCATGCAGTAATAAAAAGCTGTTCTTCCAGTTCTGAAATGAATCATAACCTTGTATCAAGATTTTTATTAAAACTTTGAAGGATTGTCCCCTTTGCTATGATATGAGTAGAGATTAATATTTTTAGATCTGTCTTACAGAATGTATTTTGTAAGTTGAGTATTAGATTTCAATAAAAGGCCACTGTCTATTGAACACATTCCAGAGCAGGCAGGTTTCTAATTAACCTGGTAAGAGAAAAGGGGGGTACTGCCTGCTGAGAATTTCCTATCACTCTACATTTATAATCTAGAGGGCAAATTCATTAGGGAAAACACCCAAAAGATGACACCTCTACTCTAATGCAATCTCTACTCACAGGATCCAATTCATACTATGCCCACCCAACTAAGAGATCTAACTCTTTTTTTTTTTTAAAAATATATTTTATTGATTTTTTACAGAGAGGAAGGGAGAGAGATAGAGAGCTAGAAACATCGATGAGAGAGAAACATCGATCAGCTGCCTCCTGCACATCTCCCACTGGGGATATGCCCGCAACCCAGGCACATGCCCTCGACCGGAATCGAACCTGGGACCCCTCAGTCCGCAGGCCGACGCTCTGTCCACTGAGCCAAACCAGCCTCGGCGAGATCTAACTCTTTGTCACCTGGGATATTCATGCTGAAAGCCATACACATGACTAATCCTATATAATAAAGAGTAATATGCAAATTGACCATCACTCCCAACACACAAGATGGCTACCACAAGATGGCCTGCAGGGGAGGGCAGTTGGGGGTGACTGGGCTGGCAGAGGAGGGCAGTTGGGGGGGACCAGGCCTGCAGGGGAGGGCAGTTAGGGGCAACCTGGCCTGCAAGGGAGGGCAGTTGGGGGCAATCAGGTCAGCAGGGGAGGACAGTTAGGGGTGACTAAGCCAGCAGGGGAGGGCAGTTAGGGGTGACCAGGCCTGAAAGGGAGGGCTGTTGGGGACGACTAGGCCTGTGGGGGGGGCAGTTAGGGGCAACCAGGCCTACAGGGGAGGGTATATGGGGGAACCAGGCCTGCAGGGGAGGGCAGTTGGGGGTGACCAGGCTGGCAGAGGAGGGTAGTTGGGGGGGACCAGGCCTGCAGAGGAGGGCAGTTAGGGGTGACTGGACCTGCAGGGGAGGGAGGGCAGTTGCGGGTGACCAGGCCAGCAGGGGAGGGCAGTTAGGGGTGACCGGGCCAGCAGGGGAGGGCAGTTGGGGGCAACCAGGCCTGGAGGGGAGGACAGTTAGGGGTGACCAAGCCAGCAGGGGACGGCAGTTAGGGGTGACCAGGCCAGCAGGGGAGGGCAGTTAGGGGCAATTGGACTGGCAGGGGAGCAGTTAGGCATCCATCAGGCTGGCAGGGGAGTGGTTAAGGGGTGATCAGGCTGGCAGACAGAAGTGGTTAGGGGCAATCAGGCAGGCAGGCAGGCAAGCGGTTGGGAGCCAGCAGTCCCAGTGGGATCGGGCCTAAACGGGCAGTCAGACATCCCTTAAGGGGTCCCAGATTGGAGAGGATACAGGCTGGGCTGAGGGACAACCCCCCCCCCCCCGCCCCCCGCCTCCCTACCCTGTCTGTGCATGAATTTTGCGCACTGGGCCTCTAGTACTTTAATAAAAACAAACCTTTCAGCCGAAACCAGTTTGGCTCAGTGGATAGAGTGTCGGCCTGCGGACTCAAGGGTCCCAGGTTTGATTCCGGTCAAGGGCATGTACCTGGGTTGCAGGCACATCCCCAGTGGGGATGTGCAGGAGGCAGCTGATCGATGTTTCTCTCTCATCGATGTTTCTGGCTCTCTATCTCTCTTCCTTCTTCTCTGTAAAAAATCAGTGGAATATATTTGAAAAAAAAACAAACCTTTCAAATCATTGGGGTATAATAATTTCATAATGTCCCCAAACTCTCAAACATCCTTTCTGGCCTTTGCAATTTAACTGAAACTGTCTACAGATTCCTACAATGAGTTTATGAGGCCAATAACATTTTCCGAATTGGCAGTTATTTTTCCTGAAGTTTCTGTTACTGACACATGCTTGTTATTTCCAAGATTTTGTGTTTTACACTGAGTTTAAGAAGTCCCGAGTCCTTCCTGAAGTCCTCTGAGCTTCCTGGCAAAGCGCAGGCTAAAATCCAAAGAATTGCCATATCTCTGCAACTATGATGCTAAAACCATTTTCCTCCTCTAATTATTTTTTTTAAATATATTTTTATTGATTTCAGAGGGAGAGAGAAAGAGAAACATTCATGATGAGAGAGAATCATGGATCGGCTGCCTCCTGCATGCCCCCACACTGGGGATGAGCCCACAACCTGGGCCTGTGCCCTGACTGGGCATTGAACCCTGACCTCTTGGTTCATAGGTTGAGGCTCAACCCTGAGCCACGCTGGCCAGGCTCCTCTAATTCTTTCAAAACCACGAACCACCTCATTGTGTCCCAGGGAGAGACTGAGTGCATGGCATTGTTGGATGAAAACAAGGCACTGCGAGATCAAACAAAGCGTGGGGGAGTGGGGGGTGGGGAGCAGCCACTTCTGGGGCTGCTTCTGACCTTGACAGCTCAGGAACACCCCAAGGCGGAGCTGACCCCCACAAAAACGGAGGCTACGACAGATTATAGGAAATGTGACACATGACTCACAGTTTGAATTCATATGGTTCATGTCTCTTTATTCTGAAATATAAAATTTTAAACAAAAAAAAAATTACAAAAGACACGAGTGTATGTTGTAAAAATTTCACATGGGAGCATACAAAGTAGAAAAGCCCAATTTCTTCGAACCACCCCTCTCAACCCCAATTCCTTTCGCAGAGGTAACAGCCAAAAAGCTTGGGAAAAACACACAGCTTTCCAGAGCTGTTATTTTAAAATACAAATAGTTCTATAGCATTGCTAACATTCTGCTTTTCTACTTAATATGTCTCAGAGTATTCCATAGCACTTCCTCATTCTCTCCTTTTTACTGATTGCATAATACTCTGCAGCATGGCTGTGCTGTGACTTACTTAACCAGCCCCCTCCTGATGGCTGGCTGCCAATTCTGTGACTACCCTTCGGTGCATACTGTTCCCACCGCACAGGTCTGTAGGAGGCCCACAGGGGATGTCCCTGTATACGTCACATTTGCTTTAAGCCTTCTCAGGGAATGTCTTCCTTCGTTTCAATTTCAATGTAATCAAATGCTGTCAGTAGTTTTCGGAACAGTATCTTAATTTACCAGAGCGGACATTAAATCCAGTAAGATGAAAGCTCATAGACACAGGCCATTGTCTGTACCTTTAAAATCCTCACATCTGCATTTATTCAATGCCTGGCACGTGGTTGACATTGATAAATGTTTGTTGAATAGATAAGGAAAAGCTAACTAGATGTGAGAGGTTTGAAAATAAAGTGTAATAACCCCAAAGTCCCTACAGTTGGAAGGGAGGTCTAAAATTGGTTAGTGAATCAAGATTTAATGTGATGCTAAATTTTGTATCTTTTATCTAGAAGCTAGAAAACACCGCAAGGTTTCTTAGTTTGGGGGGAGTTGTAAGATGAATGAAAATTCTTGTTTCTTTACTACTGAAGTCATCTCAAGGAATTCCGTAAAATGAAGGGAGAGAGAAAAAGTAAGATTAAAGACCAAAGAGCATGGTTCGTTCCCAGGTTTTGGTACCACAAAAACAAAACAAAACAAAACAAACCTCTCCCCGCCCCCCCAAAAAAAGAGTAACAAGAAAGATTCAAACAGGAAGTTACAGGCACATCTGCATATATCTAGGTTTTATAAAAGTACATTAAGTGCCTTTTAATGTAAAAATATTTACATTGAATACCCGCCCCCATCTCTACAGATCACATCCATTTTTAAATTTTTTCCTTTTTTAAAAAAGTTTTTTTTGCTTTGTTTGTTAATCTTCACCCAAGGATATTTTGCATTGATTTTTTTTTTTTTTTAAGGGACAGTGGAAAAGAAAGGGAGAGACAGAGAGCAACATCGATGTGAGAGAAACACATCGATTGGTTGCCTCCTGCTGGCGCCCTGACCAGGGCCCAGGCCAGGGAGGAGCCTGCAATCAAGGCACGTGCCCTTGACTAGAATCGAATCCGGACCCATTGGTCTGCAGGCCGATGCTCTATCCATTGAGCAACACCAGCCAGGGCCAGGTCACATCCTGGATGGGCAGCCAAGGAAGCAAGAGCTCAGCTTCACTTGGGCCCCTCCTCCAGGCGGCTGGGACCTGGGCAGCGGGGACTGTGGCAATTCTGTCCCTGAAGGTTCAGAGGCACCATGGCTAGCACCACAGCAGAACAAAGTCCGAAAGGGGAAGACATTTTGGGTAAAAGGAACAGAGGATGAATGAACTCGTGAATCTGTTGAAAAGAAAATGTCGTCTCAGCACTTAGGGTCTCAGTGAGCCAAGGCAGGTCACTCCTCCTAAGTGCCAGCAACTGGGGGCCTTTTCCCAATATTCGTTTGTGATGCTGACCTGGGACCACCCCCCCCTTTGGTCAGTCAAGTCACTGTTCTCCAGCCCTGCCCCGACCAACCCACCTTCTTGTCCTACTGCCTCAGGCTACCAGGTCTGTAACTAATTGGAAATGGCTAGAAAATGGCCTTCTGGGACATTGTTTTTCTTGCCTTCTTCCAGAAAGGAAGGATTTATATCTCAACTCTGACACACAGCTTGCGCCTTGGGCCTCCTCATGAATGAGACTTTCAGGAAGGAGGGGGTGGGGGCAGGACGGGACTGCACTTAGCAGCCAGAGTTTAGGACCAGAAAAGAACATCACCTTTTAAATAGTAACAAAACAAAACAAAACAAAACAAAACAAAACAAAACAAAAGCAAAAACACCGAAGACCCCTGGGTAACAGTTTTGACATAAGAGTACCTAACAACACCACGCTTAGGAGTATAAAGCGATACCCCCACAGGAGAAAGGGAAGTTCAGGGACACAGCATCCCTCTGGGCGGGGAGAGTGCTCTGGGAGTCTCCCCTTTTGCACAGAAAAGGGCGGCTGAGGGCGAAGTCGTGCTGACTTTCAAAGAACAGGTCTGGTTTGGCCCAAGGGCAACCTAAAATAAAAGAAGAGATTGAATTTTATTTGAGGGGAAGGAACTAAAATACTGCACAGTGCGGTTTTCTTATGGAAATGAACAAGTCGCTATGAATGCCACAGCTGAGAGCTGGCACCGTGGGCATCACTCAGGGCTGCAACTTCAGGCACATTCGGCTACACAAGGCTGGCAGGGAGTGTATGCTGATTTCCCTCACACGTGAGAACCCTCAACTGGAAAGAGCACCAAGCCCAGGGTCCCTGCTCTCCAGTGAGGACAGGGAAACCTGAGACGGTGTGTGTCCACTGTGGCCCGACTTAGAGAACTGACATCAAAGAGGCGAGGTTGTTCTGTGCTTATTTAACATCAGGTCCTAAGCTCACCTCAGACCTCCCCTGCGGCGGCCTGTACCCCAGGCTCCTTTGAATCCAGTGTTTGATGCTGTGGACACAGGCTGGCCAGCTTCTGCAGATCCTCTGAAAGACTGCTCCTAAGATCCTCATTGCTTCTTAGAAATTCTCTTACCGCTTCCAGGCGATTTAAGATCTGCAGAAAGAAACCACACAATGGACAATCAGAGAATCTGATGGGCTCAGGATTCAAGTGAAAAGTCCCAGCTCCAAGTCGGGCTCCTGCTCATGTGTTCACCGAGAGACAGAAACCTTGGCTACAGCCACCTGCCCACGGACAAACCAAACCAAGCCAAACCCTTTAAAACAAAGCATCCTGTACCCAAACGAAATAAAACTCAGGCTAGCTGGCCACTGTGCTTGTGAGCAAGGTGAGAGTGACTTGTACTTTGGGGTATGATGAAGTTTTGTTGTTGTTAATCCCCATTGGAGGATATTCTTCCATTGATTTTTAGTGAGAGTGGAAGAGAGAGGGAAAGAGAGAGAAACATTGATGTGTGAGAGACACACCGATTGGTTGCCTCCTGCACGAGCCCTGACCAGGGTGCAGGCCGGGGAGAAGCCTGCAACCAAAGTATGTGCTCTTGATCGGAATCGAACCCGGGACCCTTCGGTCTGCAGGCTGACGATCTATCCACTGAGCCAAACCAGCCAGGGCTGATGAAGTTTTTTATTTTTTTAAATATTTTTTAATTGATTTTTTTACAGAGAGGAATAGAGAGTTAGAAACATCGATGAGGTGGGAACTGGGAGGAGGGGAGTTATGGGGGGAAAAAAGAGGAACAAATGTAATAATCTGAACAATAAAGATTTAATTAAAAAAAAAAAAAGAAACATCGATGAGAGAGAAAAATTGATCAGCTGCCTCCTGCACACCCCCTACTGGGGATGTGCCTGCAACCAAGGTACATGCCTTGACCGGAATCGAACCTGGGACCCTTTAGTCCGCAGGCCGACGCTCTATCCACTGAGCCAAACCGGTCAGGGCTGATGAAGTTTTTTAAATGGGGAACTCCAACCTCAAGCTAAGTCAGGGAGATCTAACTCTAATGAAGGAACGTGGTGGAGTGCCCTACCCCTAGCAGGAAGGTGGTCCTTAAAGTTTAGGGTGCACATGATTGATTCCCATGCAGGTCTGGGGGGGGGGGGGACTCAGCAAGCACCCAGGTGACTGTGATGCCAGCGAATAAAACAGCCAGAGACGCGGGATCATGTCCCGGGACGGAAGGGAGGGAAGACGGGCTGTGGCTTGTCGCCCAGATGCACAGCGGGCAGGGAGGGCCGGGGAGGTTAGGAAGCACGTGGAGCTGTTTATGACCCGGCTGGAAACAAGCCCGCAGCTCCTGAAGGACACCTGGGCTTTAGAGAATCAATCTGGAAACCATAAACACGGAAAATGAAGATCACACCAGTTCCCCTTCCCCAGCACACACAGCACGCCGCAGGCCCCCCCCCCCCCGCCCCCTCCCGCAGAGCCGGGCACACGCTGGCCAGGTCTGTGCGCCACACACGCTCCACGGAGCGGGGCCCTCGCCGGGGTTGTTGAGATCAGTGATGAATTTCGAGAACATGCAAGTCCTGCCCCTGTTTTCTTAGCCACTTACTGCGCTCAATGTTCTTCAGCTGCATTTTAAACTCCCAGGTCTGAACAGAGCAGGGGGGGGCAGCGGGGCCAGGCGAGGGGCGCTGGGGTGGCAGCCGGCCCTTGGTGGCCACACGCCACACCTGTCCCCAGGGAGCTGGCCGGCTGCCACCCCGCGGCTCTGACGCAGAGCGCAACTGACAAGCACGGTCACGCACACACAGCGTATTCCGGGGGCCCCTTGATAACGTTATATATCATTTCGGCGTGACGATCAAACAGGAAAGAACGGACATGACGAGGTCTCTGCCATGAGCTCCATGAGGCATTCTGGGAACCGTCACCCTAAATTACCACCATGAGCCATGCTTCCTCAGCTTGGCTTTCCACCGACCCCCACTCTCTTACCGAATCCCAGAAACAGGTCTTGTTAAATACTGACAGAAAAAGTCCTGTGCTCATAATATAATCACCGTATTCCTTCATTCCTGGATGCATGTGTTGCTGTTTTTTCATATTTTAACATCTCAAATGAGAATGCATCTTACCACTGAGTGTCTTACAATAAATTGGCAGCATTTTTTTTTTCTGTCTTAGAAGTAACGGAATCCATGTTGTGTCTTACAATGGATGGCATCTTAGAGCCACCGAAATGGGGGCTATCGCATCATCTGCCTTTGGAGGCTGACCCTGGAGAACACGGATAACCATATCTGGGACCGAACGGCCAAACAAGGTCAAGTTCCACACATCGTGGAAAGCCAACCTTCAACTTCTTAGAGATAACATGCCAATCAATCTGAATTTACATTTTGATCAATGGAAACAGCAAGAGAAATGCCATGGTCTACTGAACAAAAGCATGCGAAATGAGAACTTATCAACCCTATCTAGAGACTTGGGACCCAGAGAACAAGCCAATTAACCCCAATTTGCTCCTGGAAAACAGAGATAATGAGGGTTCGAAATGTCCAGTCGCCAGCTCTGCAGTGATACAAGATGCAGTGAGGCATGAGAGGCACAGGCCCAGAGCGAGGGCACCCATGCCAGCCTGCAGACCCAGCCGGCAGCCTTCTGTCCCACAGAGCCCGCTCCTTGGGGCTGCTGCCTCGCGTGCGAAGCAGGGGCTGTGATAAAGTGATGGCAGGTTCCCTTCCAGTGCGCAGCTCACACGGACTCCTGGCTTGAGTGTGGTGCTGCTGGTGTGTTTTGCTCTTTGTTACACAAACGGGAAAGAACTGCAGCTCCCTCAAGAGGGAAGAGGGGACTCGGGACGACTCCGGGGCCATGATCCCGAGCCCCTGGTGGCCTTCTGGAAGCAGCAGCAGGAAGGGAAGTGGGGCTGGCTCTATGCATTTTAAAATAAAGCAAGATGAAGCCCATGGACTGAGAACACAGAAGACTTAACAGTCGTATTCATCACTTTACATACCTATGGTGTGCCAGGGAGGGCACGCTCTCTCTCCCTACAATCAATAAACAGATCCTCAGGTGAGGATTTAAAACAAACAAACAAACACCTGTCGGCTCCAACCCCTGGGTGAAGCACAGAAAATCTTTCAAAATATGGCTTCAACCTACCTGACCACCTCACATCTGATCATGCCTCCTCCTTGTCACTGTCCAGGCCCAAGCTATTCTTTCTTTTTAAAAAATATTGATTTCAGAGAGAGGAAGGGAGAGGAAGAGAAACATCCATGATGAGAGAGAATGATGGATCGGCTGCCACCTGCATGCCCCCTACGGGGGATCAAGCCCACAACGTGGGCACATGCCCTGACTGGCAATTGAACTGTGACCTCCTGGTTCATAGGTCGACACTCAGCAACTGAGCCATGCCGGCCGGGCCCAAGCTGCTTTCATGCCTTGACAGGTGCTGTTCCTTCTGCCGAGAACGCCCTTCTTCTCTTGCCCATTTGTCAAACTCTGAGCTGATTCTGTTAGTCCCAGCTCAACAGCACCTTCTCAGCAAAGCCCTTTTTCCACAACCCCACCCCCACTTGTAGACTCTCTAGAGCCGCGGTTCAGAGTTCTGTGGCAGCCTTACCATGTGGTTCCACTCTATGGCACATATCAGGCACTGACATGTGTGCTGACGAAGCGAAAAGAACTGTTTAAAGGTAATATTCATCTATGCCAAAAGGAGATTCATTTCTGGAAATTACTTGTCTTATAAATCAGAAACACGGCTGGGAATACCTTACGAGGAGCTACTCTTCCTCCCTGGTGTCTCTGTTTTGTTCACTCACACAGAGGATATAGTAATTTTTATTTTTGTTTACCTCTTCTGGCAGCACCTCTTGCTCTTTTGCTTGAAGATAAATCTCTTGAAGTTTTTCCTTTAGAAATTCCGTTTCGATTTCATGGACTTGGCTCTCACTCAGGTAAATGCCTGTTTCATATTCACACCCATCTGGATGATCTTCCTCGGGGATGAGGACAGCCCAGTCAGATGTCAACAGCTGTTGGAATGCCGAACAAACATATGAACTGATTGCATGAAAAAGAAGTTCCACTGGGTGACTGGAAGCATTTATAATGAATTATCACTGACTGGACCCATTTTAATAACATCCTGTGACCACAGAAAAGCTTCCTAGCCCAGTACAATTCTAGATTTCATATCAACATGTTTTGCCCTGTTGACACGCTAAAATTTCACTTAAACCTAATAAACTTCAAATTCTAAATGAGTGACTGTCGCTACTTTTCCCCCTTAGTTCTTTAAAAAAAATTTTTTTTATTGATTTCAGAGAGGAAGGGAGAGGGAGAAATGTAAACATTGATTGGCTGCCTCCTGAACACCCCCTACTGGGGATCAAGCTCACAACCCGGGCATGTGCCCTTGACTGAAATCAAACCCGGGACCCTTCAGTCCACAGGCCGACGCCTTATCCACTGGGCCAAACCAGCTAGGGCTCCCCTTAGTTCTTTTTTTTTTAAAAAAAATATATTTATTGATTTTTTACAGAGAGGGAGAGGGATAGAGAGTTAGAAACATCGATGAGAGAGAAGCATTAATCAGCTGCCTCCTGGACACCCCTTACTGGGAATGAGCCTGCAACTAAGGTACATGCCCTTGACTGGAATCAAACCTGGGACCCTTCAGTCCCCAGGCCGACGCTCCATCCACTGAGCCACACCAGCTAGGGCCCCCCTTAGTTCTTTATGCCAAAAGTGTTCAACCTAATCTTTACCTCTTCTATTCTGGAGTATGCCTCCACAATCTCTGGGACATTATGGAATTCATTCAGAAAATTTTGGATCTTCATCTGGAAATCTCGAAGCCACATAGAAGATACCTTCATCTCTGAAGAGTGCATGATATCGTTACGACACTTAATCACCTACAGAAAGACAGAAAAAGGTAAAAGGCTTCAAAGTCAAACAGTGGGGTAAACTGACATTTCTGTAGCTTCAAAGAAAGTTGCAGCCCGGCCAGAGTGGCTCAGTGGTTGAGCGTCCACCTATGAACCAGGAGGTCACGGTTCCATTCCCAGTCAGGGCACATGCCCGGGTTGTGGGTTCGATCCCCAGTGTGTGGCATGCAGGAGGCAGCCGACCCATGGTTCTCTCTCTCCCTTTCCCTCCCTCTCTCTGAAATCAATAAAAAGAACAAAACATATTAAAAAAAAAAAAAGTTGCAGAAAGGCTTTTTGTTATGTTCAACCCCCTGCCACTTGAGTAATAAATTCATTAGGGAAAGAAATACAAACAAGCTTACAACTACCCTTAGTCCTTGAAATCTTGTGACTGGCTGGGCTGTCTCTTACCACCCTCCACATCCCTTAGCTGAAAACCACCCGCCAAAGAGCAAGAGTATTGGCTAGCGGCTCTGCGCACACCCAAGGCTAAAGCAGAAAATGCAAAAAGCCTTTAACTATCGCTGGAACCCCAGGAAGCTGGGCCAAGGGAGCTTTTTGTTGCAGAAACCATGATGAAAGACCACCTTTAGCTTGTGTTTTAAGACAGATGGTGCTGTGTAATCATATGTTCATTAATGCACGGCAAGTCTTCCACATCTTTGTTAAGAGAGAGCACAGGGGTCAACTTCGCACTGCGATCGTTTTTGTCTCTACTGATGTCATAGAGGCTTCTCAGTCCTTTTAGCTGCTGGCAACCTAGCAGAATATACATGCATTTTCTCTACATGTTATAAATACTCCATTCAAATGTACTCTCTTCAATGCCCCTCAGAGCAATAACTGTGTAGAGCTGTTCTCTGGTGAAAGAGAGAATTCTGTCTAAATCTCCAAGGAGATCTGACATAGTGATCTATTCTGGCCTTTATTCAGTAGTGTTCCTATTTTCTCCAGTTCTATGTAACTTGGTCTTGTCAATTACATTTTTAAAAGTTTTTTAAAAATACTTTTACTGATTTCAGAGAGGAAGGAAGAGGGAGAGACAGACAGACACATCCATAATGAGAGAGAATCATGGATCAACTGTGTCCTGCACACCCCACAGAGGGGATGGAGCCCGCAACCGGGGCATGTGCCCTGACCGGGAATCGAACAGTGACCTCCTGGTTCAAAGGTCAACACTCAACCACTGAGCCACACTGGCCGGGCTTGCCAATGAAATTTAGAAGGGCAGGACTCAAATGCTGTCATACCATGAACAGAATGATGCATTGCTCTGCACATAGTTTTTAACACTATAGATAGCTTTGCTTCTGTTGGCGGTAGAACACAGAAGAGAAATGTGAGAAAGGTACAACAGCGAGTTGCCAGGAAGCGTTCGTTAGGAAGAACAGGAGGCCAGTCTCCTGACTGCATTTGCACAGGAGATCCTGGACGTCACAGAAGGTGACGCATGTGAGCCCCACGAGCCTGCTGAGCGGTGCCAGCTCTGACGCCAAGTCTAGGTTTCTGTGCACATCGGTGTTTGGGGAGGGGCTGTGGGCTGCGCCTGCGCGCTGCTTCAACATCACCGGGTGTTTCTCAGCGGGCTCCACACGACATACGTGACTGACTCCCACTGTAGGGACCGCAGTCGGACAGCTCTTACCTCTGTGACTTTCTTTCGATCAACCATGAAGTGATCGCAGGAGTTGATGAGGTTTAAAAGAGCCACGGCATCACATTCCTCGGGTCCCGCTTTGTCTGCCAGTCCGCGGGGCATGAAGGCCTGTGGGAGGGAGGGGCGAGGGGCGCCTGAGTTTCCTCCAAGCCCGTGAGCTACTGGGGCCAATGTCACGTGTCTGTTTCCCGAGTTGACTGCAATTCTCTCATGTACCTCGAAGTGCGTTGCAAGAATTAAACGAGTTAATGCGAGTAAAGCACTTGCTTGGCGCCTGGCACGTGCCAATAAACAGGCCTTAAACGCGGGCGATTACCCTGCTGACGGTGCGGGCGAGTCGGGCCTGCAGAGTTCCAGATGGGGCTCCGGGGCTGCAGGCACTAGATGACAGCAGAAGGGCCTGTTCTAGCAGGATCTTGCCTTTTACAGCATTTTCTGGCACACCCCCCCCCCCCCCAATGGTGCTATAGCAAGGCTGGGGCACATTTCTGGCCTGAAATCTTGCCAAATTTACATCTGAAGGCAACAACTTTACCAAGCTCAGCAGCTCAGGAGCACATGCTGCCAAGGAACTGGAAAAGATGACACATGAGAAACTGCGTGCGATGAGAACTCTAAATAAAGAGTTCCCTGGAAAACAAACACATTTCAGTAGGCAAGCTACAGCACTGCCTCCTACAGGGCTGCCGGGGGGGGGGGGATCAGGGCCGTGTTCCTGACGGCGAGGATGCTACACCTGAGCCTCATGTCATTAAGAAAAAAAGCCGTCTACCCCAAACGGCCCCTGTCACAAGGTACGGTGGCCAGTACCATCCCCGTCTTTCTATATCTGCACAGCCACCGACACGCCAGCCTCTGAAAGAAGCCTGTTCCGGATGCTACACAGGCTAACAGAGAAACCAGCTAGAGCAGCACAAGCGAATTCCAAGAAAAGGAAGGAGAAACTCTGCTTGTCACTCCAGCTACTGCAGAGGAAAAGAGCAAGTCAGAGGAGCCTTAGCTGCCTCAAGACCAGGTATGGCTTTCTTTCCCACGACAAGGCATGTTCTGGCTGGCATTTTCTCGCCCGTGTGAACCCGTCTCTTGCACAATGGTGTTTTATTCTAGTGATTATTCCTTTTCTCTAGAAACAGAAGCCGACAGGGGGGTTCTACTGCCTCTGAAAGCCGTTTCTTAAAACTATGTCGCATGCCATGTGCTCCATGTGTCAGACGCAGCTCTGTGAAGCACGCCTATTGCCTCTCACTGCTGCCTGCTGTGTCTGCACTGAGGAGGGGGAGGGGGAGGTGAGGGTGGAGAAATGAACAAGGGCCAGACCACGCTGGGCCTTCCTGGCTCTGGAAAGGAGTCTGACATGCATTCCAAGGGCATCAGAAAGCCACCCACGGGCTTTAGGCAAGGGAATAAAAAGGGGAGGGCGAGAGTGTGACGCAGAGATGGAGAGAAGGAGGATTTCATAACGACTGTGCAGGTACAAAGAGGGTAGTGAGAGTTCGGGAAGAGAGGAAGCAAGAATGATTGGAGCCCTGGCCAGTGTGGCTCAGTTGGCTGGAGCATCATCCCATATAATGAAGGGCTGCAGGTTCAACCTGTGGTCAGGGCATGTACAGAAGGCAACCAATCGATGTTCTCTGTGACATCGATGTTTCTCTCTCCCCCTCCTCCCCCCCCCCAAAAACTGGTGACCTCTTGGCTCATGTGTTGATGTTCAACCACTAAGCCACCCCAGTCCACCAAGATTTCCTTTTTCTAACTGTCAAATAAGATTCCATTGTACACATACATACACACCATCTTCTTTATTCATTCATCTATTGATAGACACCTCAGCTGCTTCTCTCTCTCTTTTTAAAATATATTTTATTGATTTTTTACAGAGAGGAAGGAGAAGGATATTTAGAAACATCAATGAGAGAGAAACGTCCATTGATCAGCTGCCTCTTGCACACCCCCTACTGGGGATGTGCCCGCAACCAAGGTACATGCCCTTGACCGGAATCGAACCTGGGACCCTTCAGTCTGCAGGCTGACGCTTTATCCACTGAGCCAAACCGGTTAGGGCTCAGCTGCTTCTCTATCTTGGCTGTTACTAGTAATGCTGGAATGAACCTAGGAGTGTATATATCTTTTTGAATTAGTGCTTCTGTTTTCTTCTTGCCATTTGTGACAACATGGACGGACCTAGAGGGTATTATGCTAAGTGAAATAAATTAGAGAAAGACAAATACCATATGATCTCACTTACATGTTGCATCTAGAAAAACAAATGAACAAACAAAACAAAATAGAAAGACTCATATAAAGAACAAGCTGATGGTTGCCAAAAGGGGTGGGGGGTGGGAAGTGAGGGAAAACAAATAAATCAGTAAACAGTGCTCATTAAAAAAAAAGAAAAGAAAAACGGAAAGTGAAACCAGTCAGCTCCCTGGGAGACTGTTCCTCTCAGAAGAAGCAGACGATGGTGCCATCAGGGCTGGAGCTGGGCCAGGCCAGGTCAGAGAAGGAGAAAAAAGGAAGAGGGGGTTAGAAAGAGTATGAACTAGAAGGTCTGTAGGTGACAGCAACGCCAAGTGGCATAAACAGGTGGCCTGTGCTTCCAGAGAATTCTGAGGGTATAAAAGCAGCAGCAGAGAACAAATGGGTGAGGGACTGTCACAGTAAAAGATGGAGTTTTAAGGTGTTTTCTTGTCTAGGTAAACGGAGAAGTTGGCTTAGAAAAAAATGGGGCAGAGGGTGCAGGTTTGGGGGTTTACTGGACCATGACAGCCAACAGGCTGGGGTGCTGATACAGTTCAAGTTCATTTTTGGGGTTAGGGAACAGAGGCTGGCCCCGCGGCACTTCACCGCAGCTTGAGCGGGGACTGATTTCTACGTCCCAGGCACCGAGCCTGTGCCCGCTGCTCGCTGGCAAGGAGGCTGCCTGCGCCTCCCCACACCCTCCACGGCTTCTGGCAAACATCAAAAAGGCAACAACAACAAAAATTCCCCACTTGGCCCAATTAGTACGTCAAACTGCCAAAATCTAAAAACAAGTCTCATGGAATCCTTCCATCTGGCTGCCTCCCCCAGCTCCGAAGTTTCATTCCCTAGACGGGCACTGAAAGTCCTTCATGGGGTGGCCTTCTCTTGCCTTCGCTCACTTGGCCGTCCTCATGGTACCCGAGAACCAAGATGAGTATCTGAGCCGCTTCCCTCAAAACCGCATGTCATGTTGCCCCCTCGGCGCCTGTGCCCGTGACCCTCGCTCTGCACCCTGTCCCAGCATCTCCCGTGCGGATCCTTCCTCCAGCTTCGCCAGCAGGAGTAGCGAACTCACGCCTCCAGGAAGCAGACGGGCAGCAGGAAGCCTCTGCTTCCCTAAGCGGGGTTGGGTCCGACAGCACAGCCCGGGGCCGCCCAGACACCAGCCCTGAGGTTACCCGCGGTGTCACCCCTCCCACCCGACCCGATCGCCCGCAGGTGCTTACCTTGGCCACCTCCCAGGCGTCCGCGGGCCAGCGGCCCGGCCGGCAGTTGCCCCAGTGGACGTCCCCGTTTCGGTTGGTGTGATGCTTCAGAATCTCCCGTTTCCACTCGGCGCACACCCGACACTGAGGCTGAAACTACAGGGGGCGGCGGGGAGGGAGAGGCATTTGGGCATCTGAGCCCCGCACCAGGGAGGGCACGCGACACTGAATTCGGAACGGGGGGGGCGGGGGGGAAGGGGGGCCGCGGGGCGGGCAAGGGGATGGGGTGGGGAAGCGCAGCGGTCAAGGCCCCGGGCCGGATGCTCACCTGGCGGGCGCGCGGGCTGCACCTGGAGCCGCCGCGGCAGGTGGCGCCCGGGCCCAGGCCGGGGGCGCAGGCGAGCAGGCCGCGGTGGAAGGCCAGCATCTCCCGGCCCACGAAGCCCTGCAGGCAGCGGCGCAGCAGCAGCAGGCAGTGGCCCGCCTTCACCCAGTTCTTGTACTCGGCGCAGTTGAGGCGGACGGCCAACTCAGACAGCACCATCGCCCGCTCCTGCCCCGGAGGCCACGGGGCGGGGCGGGCGGCAGTGCGCAGGCGCGGAATCCTAGACAGCCGGAAGCGGCGCGGCGAGGTGGGCGTGGCCCCGCCAGTAGCCGCCCCCACGTGCAGGGCGCGTCAGCATGACGCGCGGCGCCACGCCCCCGGGGCGGGGCGTCCCGGCTCCCAGGACAAGTCGGCCGCACCCTCTTAAAGAACCCCACACTTTGTCTCTACCTGGAACTCTGTTCCCCCAAACTGAGACATGCCAGCCCGAATTCTCCCTCCTCTCCGATGTCCGTGCTCCTTCCTGTTTCCTTGTAGGGATGGGATGCAGAAGGCGCTAAAGACACACTTCTTGACTTAAATGTTCCTGGCATTACACAACTCTACTAAGCTTACTTACCTGGTTCCTAAGCCCACAGACTGGATATAGCAAATCGGGGAATTAGTGAAATGTGACTGCGGGAGCCTGCACGGCGCACCTATTACCTGTTTGCGGTGTGCCAAGGTGACACCTTTGGGCCATCAAGGAGAGGCAAAGTGGACACATCACCTGGATTTTGGAGGGTGGATTCTGGCAGGCTGCACCCTCTAAGCCAGATCTTCTTTGGCGCTTAGAGGATTATTTTGTACTCTTGATTATGTGCTAATTAGTGCTCCTCCCATAAGGGAGTCTGAGTTAAGTTCCAAATAAGGGTGCCACGAGGGTCAGAAGGCAATGAATTGTCAGCTCTGAATGACAAGAGGTGATCTCAGCTGTAGTTAGGTTTCCTGAGCTTCTTGAGTGTGAAAAGCATGTTAAAATTGTGTGCAGTCAAAAGGCTCTGAGGGGCGAGTCTAAACCTTGAAGCCTGCCCCTGACTTCCTATTTCACAGAAATAGATCTGGACTCAAGTTGTCTCTACTTAGCTGCTTGATCTTAAGCAGTCGTAAATTTGATCTCAGCAAGTTACATTTCTCTAGGCTTCAGTTTACTCATCTGTCAAAGGAAGATATTAATACCTACCCCATTTGGATTGTTGTGAGGATTAAATACACACTGACATACTTAGAATGGTGTCTGGCAATAGTAAGCTCTCAGTAAATATTAGCTATTATATTAACCCAAATGTGCTCTTTCCTCAATCAGTCATATTCTTGAGCAAGGTATTTTAACAAATCACAGCTTTGGAAGTGGCCGCCATTTACAGAAAATTGTGAGATCGTGGCCTCCTGGAGTTGTGTAGCACAATGCTGGCTGGCCTCTGCTCATTTTTTCTTAACCTCAAAGCTATCCTAAATAAATTTCAAATCATTCCCCTAAGACACACTGTCCATTCCCATCAAACCAAATGAAAACGAAAACTTCCCAAGAAACAATGAAATACACATTATTTTCTCTTTTTGTCCCTATAAGTTTTCTTAAGATTTTCGGTACATTAATTTCCTATCAAGAACACTTGGGTAGCCCAGCTGGCGCGGCTCAGTGGCTGAGCGTGGTCCCATGCACCAAGAAATCACCAGTTCCATTCCTGGATAGGACACACGCCCAGGTTGGGGGCTTGATCTCCAAATCTGGGCAAGCAGGAGGTAGCCAACTGATGTTTCCCTCTCATCAATTTCTATCTCTTTCTCCTTTTCCCTTTCTCTCTCTTAAAACAAAACAGAACACTTGGGTAATAAATATTAAACAAAAGGTATTCCTTTGGGGGAAAATCATGAAAAAACTTTTTACTATGAAATTGGATCTGAATTTAGAGTAGTAAAATTATGCTTCTTGTAGTTATAAAATTAATCCCAATCCAAAGAACGACTAACAAACTATTAGTATCCTGTGGACAGGTTACTGTGTAAACTGCAACAAAGTAAAGTTATTAGTGGTATTCAAACTCACAATATATTTTAGTTTACACCTATACTTAACTCACTCAGAGTTAATTTCAAATATAAGGTTCATCCCATTAATAACGATATGTTCTGTTGAAGTTTTCACTTTTTTCCTAATTCTGAAAGTACTTCTATACATTCTGAAGTGGCATTTCAGTAGATACACAAAAGGTGGCAAATCAGAACCAATTTCTTCTTTCAAGGTTAAACTAATACTAAAACATGCTACTATCCAAACATCTTCATGAAAATTAACTACTGAGAGTTGGTAGTTCTCTGAAACTTGTGTAAATTTTATTTATTACTAAAATTGAAAACATCTTAAAGTTAAGACCCAAACCCTCTAGAAAAAATCTCTAAGGGCATCCATTCCGTTTGGTTGAAACTAGGTAACAAAAGAGGCAAAAGACATGGTTTGTGATGAATCCTAAAATTCAAATACTAGTGTTTTCAAGCTTTAATAAAGTATATTCCAATTCCAAGTACCAAGTATGATATCAAAATTCAAATTCACCGATGTACTCTTAAATAAGCATCGAAATACAAGTTTTGTTCACTGAGTCCTATTTTCCTTTTGATTTGCACAATGCATTCAGAGATGAGTTATAATTAGGAAAAAAGTGTCTACTGAATGCATCATGTTTAAAATGCAATTAACAGTTCAAAACCAATCATACTTAAAAGGGCAAACACCTAAAAAGTTAACTTGAGTCATAAAATTATCTGAGGCAGTATTATCCTGTAGATAAAAATACATTTGTTGTATATACATGTAGGTTTCTACATGAAAGAAAGGATTCCGCTCCAAACAGAAAAGGACTGGCCCTTGATAAAGACATGTTAGACTGACAAACAGATGTGATGACCACCGCAAGGAGAACTGGAAATGGAAGGATAAAAGGTAAGTTAAAGGAAGGGTAAAAGTTTAGTCACCTGCTCCTGAATAGTGGCAGAGTTGGGCAAGAAGCAGGAGATGAAGGCAGAGTAAGACATAGAAGAAAGGCAAAGAAGGCCTCAACGCTGACCAGAAAGGAATACAGACAGAATCAAGCCGAGTTGAGGACAGATATGCTATAGCTGCAGTGAGATGCTTGAAATTAGAATTTGGTAGTTGACAGTTACAGAAGCGCAATTGAGTCATCTAAAATGGAATTAGACAAAGCATCTGCAATTTCGTGGAGAACCAACATTACAGTGACAAGATAACTCAGCATGATGTCATTCATAAAACTTCCCCAAACAGCATCAAGTCACCAGAAGACCTTTGCTTCCGACGACATTCTTTCAAGCTTATCAAAGTCCCTGACTGACTGGGAGAGATAACGCAGTGCCCCCAAAGGAAACTGCTGAGATGTGATCTTAGGTTCTTCAAAGTGAGGAGACTGGACCAGGTTTCTTCCAAGCAAAACATTTTATCGTTTTGTAGACAATGAATCAAACTGGATTGTTTAGAATAACCCCAACTTTGGTGGGGAAATTAAGCAAGATAAGGAACCCCCGCAGAAATTTTATGCAAAGGCAGAGCATTCAAATTCTGTCTCCTAATTAATGCTGTGTGCAGAAGTCTCCTGTAAAAGAAAGTTGCCTAACAGAAAAGTTACCACATCCTCAACAGACCAGAATATTGCCATATGTGAGAGCCTTGATTAATATGGAGTACTCACTGCCTCTTCTCAAAGACTGGGTTCTTGCTTTTACCAAAATCCTAAACTGAAAGACAGTCAAGGGGCTAAGTGTTCACCACCAGTCAATGTAGGAATGCTTGAAGAAAATAAACTTGAAACAAAGAAGTAGATGTTTTTGGTCACATTTTAGACACGTATTATTAGAAATTTGTTACTGGCCCCACCAGGTTAAAGATGAAGGGAGGCCCTGCGAAGTCTATAGAGCTGATATATACACACAAGTGAGTGTCACTGTTTTTGTTTTTTTAAACCTCTAGTTTTATTAAATATTGCTTCTTTGGGATGTTTTTTTTTTTTTATAACAACTCCCAGAACATATTCATGTAAGGATTCAAGTGGTCATATTAAAATACAGCTTCATATAAAGTTTATCACAGTTTTACAGTATTCAAAACAACAGACCTGCCTTATAAAAACAAAACAAAAACCAAAAAAAGGACTATTACACCCAAAACATAGAAAAACAATTAAATAAACAAGTTTGGCATTTCCGTAATTTTATAGTATAAAACAGAATATTAAATCTAAGATTGGCAAGCGAGACACTGATGTATTTACCTACTTTGAAACGTGTCCCATTTAAACACACTTTACAAGTTCACTATACAAAAGATTGATGGTTTGATGAATGAAGTGCACCCTGAAAATTTTTGCGAATATTTAGCTCAAAGTAAAAAAAAAAAAAAAAAAAAAAAAAAGTCCTTTTCCTTTTTTAAACTGAAGGCTGAATTCAGACTTTTTTTTGTTGTTTTGTCTCATTTGTCAGCCTTCCTGGTTTAAAAACAATAGTGTCTATGGACGCCCACCAGGGGGCAGTGTAAGATTAGCCATTAAATCACGAACAGCTGCAAATATTGTGCATTCACCTGCAACAGAGAAAAATGGTCATTAGCTATTCGCAATACAGGAAAGATGATGTCAACACACCGGTGGGGTAGGGGCAGTTAAATCTAAAATTAGCAAGAACTTTAAGGATCCAAATAAAAGAGTAAATTTTAACTGCACAGGTTACAGGGGATACTCAACACTTTGGTGTTGAGTATCAGATAATGATTTCATTTGGGTTTTGTTTTTTCTTATGAGGAAATGTTGGGCAAGCCCCATCTAGGTTTGAATTTAAGAAGATGCCTAGAGTTTATAGAAACACTGGATACAGAGCACTGGGTAAACCTTTGAAGTTGGACTTCAAGGCTACTGACAACTGGCTTATCTTATGTATTTTGAATGTAATGAAAAGATCTACAGGCCGGCCTGCATGGCTCAGTGGTTGAGCGTTGACCTATGAACCAGGAGGTCAGGGTTCAATTCACGGTCAGGGCACATGCCCCGGTTGTGGGCTTGGTCCCAATGCGGGGTGTGCAGGAGGCAGCGGATCAATGACTCTCTCTCATCACTGATGTTTCTAGCTCTCTCTTCTCCCTTCCTCTCTGAAATCAATAAAAATATATATTCTTTAAAAAGGTCAGGTAAAATATCTATGAAAGCACTGTCCAATAGAACTTTCTGTGAAGATGAAAATATTCTATATGCGTGCGCACTGTGGCTACCAAGCACTTGTAATGTAGTTAGGGTGACTGAGGAACGGAATTTTAAATTAAATTAAAATTACATTAAAATTAAAAAGCCACATGCAGTCAGTGACAGTTACATTGGACAGTACAGTTCTATGACATCTATTGGAGTTTTCTCCCAAATTTGAAGGAAATGATCAACTTCTTGAGTTCAGCATTAAAATCAATTAATACAAAAATAAAGTGGTTTTTCTTAAAAGCACTTCCACCTCCAAGGGGAGGAAGTGATGGGTTTGGCAGGCGGGGAGGGAGGCTGAATGTGGCCCACCAACAATCCCAAAGCAGGATATGTTTGGGGGAGGCTAACGATTCATCCTCTCAGTGTCCCCTTTGCTTGAAGAAACCAAACACCCTGCCTCTTCCTTCCTGTAAATATTACAAATATTTCAATATAATAAACCAAGACCAGCTGTTAATATTATAAACCAGCACAGCCTAACACTACAGTGGCTGAAATGAGAACTGAAGACAACTGAGTAATGGTCTTCCAGCAGAGGGCAGAGCACAGCGACCCTGTGCAAGTCACTGCACCCTTCTCATCTACCACTGGAAAATGAAGGTACAGAAAGAAAATGAAATGCAAAGGTATAACCTGTCTAAGGTAGACATAAAAGAAAAACAATTTCAAAATATCCCAGCCATTTATTAATTCAAAGAAGTTACATCTTTTTCTAAAAACACATTTTCATTATTGACAGGTAGAAACACTTGCTTGATCGCAATAGGATCAAAACATTCTTTCCTTTCAATTTTAAATTCCACAAGACATACTGATAGTTAACTGCTTATGAGAGAATGGTGTTTATTATCAGAGTTCTACTGGATTACTACTTTGAAAATTCTGTTAGCTTTAAACTCTGATTCTTAAGGACCTATTCTTTAGCTGAAAGAGGAAAGAAGTCAAAGGATGAAAGCAGAAAATTATAAGAAGTGGAAGAAGTATTACAACAAAAGAAGCATACCCTTCTCTACTGCCCAGTGCATTTTTTATAAACTATACTTGAGTGAGAACTTGCCCTTGTATACAATATGGGGAAACAAACAGCTAAAAATAAATAATTTCTCCCGTGACTCCTATTACTAGTAAAATTTTCACACTGCGGTACATAAAAATGTTTCAGAGAACGACTTTCCCTCATTTAAAAACATAATTCTGTTATCATGCTATTCTCAACAGAAAGATGGCAGACTTCCTTAAGATTGGAAATAAGCAAAACGGAAGAAAGTTCTCTTTGCTGAGCTTTGTTTTGCAACCCAGGATTTGGCACTGCCAGGAGTGGTGTGTTAAGCGTAGGCTACAACAGTATTGACCGGACCTTGTTTCTCTTGTCAGAACATTCTGGTTTCCTTGACGGTGCTCACCGTGAGAGCTTCATTGTGCACTTGGTGAAAAGGTTCACTTGCACCCGCCTGAACTTATATAAGGAGCCCAAAAAGCAGTGATGCCATTTGTATCAGCTTTTATTCTTCACAAAACATTGAGAAGATACAGAACTTTGAATGGTATTATTCTCTTCATGACTGAACCATGAAATATGAGAAACCAACATGCAGTTCAACTTGGTGATGTACAGAGTGGCGGGTATCGATGGGAGGGCAGGAATTCACATTCACGGAAAATTCTATCATCCTAACCTAGGGCATTGTGGCAATGTGTGCCATAAATACAAGCTTCTGGCATTAGCAACTGGGTCAGTCCCAATAGTAGATCACTAACGAAAATGAAGTCCAGGCAGCAGAGACATGGACAAAAACAAAGAACCAGTGAGAACAGAAGAAAGCGACAGGCAGACATTGAGAGGCCACAGCGACCGGAGCACTAGTGCTAGGACTGGGCTGAGGCGGGAAAGGAGGAGGCAGCGGGGAGAAGGGGAAATCTCTCAAAAGAACTTACAACACACACGCAATAAAAGATCATCCACTGGTCATGTACCTTGTCGCGGTGGGTTCATCTCTGCGAACCTCTTCAGAATGTTGCTGACCATCATGGGAGCAGCAACAGAAGAGTTCTGCTGCCT